TTCCCTTGGGAGGTAGATCTGCATCATTTAAAAGGTCTGACAAGGTATCTTCATACCCAGATTTACACTCTTCTGCATTTCACGTGTCTCCCCTTTGGTTCATGTTTAATTTAGGCTTCTTTTTTTAAACGAATAGAAGATTAACAAATAGAAAACCTACTGATCACTTTATATAAACCAAGAAGACAGTTCAAACCTAGTAATAATTATAACAAAATACTGCTTACTAATTATTACCTTCTTTCTTTTCATGTCCGCCCTTGCTGAAAAGTTGCCAAGCTTTCAAATTTGTGGATTGTGACACAGGAAAATATGGGAAACCTAGCTGTGTGAACCACCTGGGGCCTGAGGTTCCCTGTTCAGAGCAGAAGGAGTTGGGCTAAGGGAGACGTCAGCTCCTTTCCCGGGTCTAGACCTGGACGGTGGGTGACCAGGTGAACAGCCTGCAGGGAAGGTGGACAGCTCCGGTGCTGAAGCAGCCAGGAGGGCAGGTCCCCAAACACACTGGCTCTCACGTGTTTCAAAAGTCAGATTTGGTTTTTTTCCTTTTGATTTCAGAAGGGAAATACATGGCAGATATGGCGCGTTAGACAGTGTTCCCACCAAGCTCTGGGGCTGCTCTCCAGAGTCGAGTGTATTAAGGACCCTGGTGGTAAATGGGGGCTGTGAATAGCTTCTCCTCCATTCAGGCCCCTGTCGTGCCTGTCGTGACTAAAGGAGTTAAAAGATTAAAAAAAATTTTTTAATGCAATTTGCACTTTGAATTGTGGATACAAGATTGTGAACCTGGACACATGTGAAACCTACTAACTAAATACAGACACTGAGAGTGTAAAGCTTGTGGTGCCCCTTCCCACAGCTGGGCAGAGATCGGATATGACATGACAGGCACTGGGCTCCGCCCTTCATGGAAGCCCGTTTTCAAGTGACGTCGGAGGGAAGTTCATACCTGAGGAGGGCATGTGCTTGGGTTGAGGGCGGGACATTCCCGTCCGAATTTGCTTTATTGATTCTGTACAATTTTCACTATCTTTTTGGTGGCAATACAAATGTACAAACTAACTGGAAAAAAAAACAAACAAAAAAACCCTAACTTTGATTAATTTTGCAGTTCAGTAATTTAAGGATTTTTATTAGGGAACCATTGGCATACCACAATTCTGCTCTAACGAAGTACACTAAGCAAATAATTTGCTTAGCAGGTCCCGGGGGAGTTACTGAGAAAATGATGTACTAGTAAGAAGGGGGAAAGAACAGAAAGATGGAAAAAATAGATGGGCCCGTGAACTTCTGAGTCACTTGAACAAAATCAAATGCTAAGTATGAAAATTAGCCATTAGTCAAACGACTTGATTTATAGGATGAACAGTCCTCACAGCATCAACGCAATGATATGAGGGGGCAGGACGGCTGCACTGGAGGCGACTGACGGGAAGGAGGCCCTGCAGTGAGCGGAGTCAGCGGCCTGCTCTGCCCTGCTGTCAGCTTTCTCTGTTCAGAATATGTGTGTCCCCTCTCTCTCTCCCTTCCATGGATTATTAATATCCATATCACACACCACAATAGAACAAAATTACGACGTGAATATTACTCCTATATTTTGAATACTCCCCGAAGTGCCTTTTGGGTGATTAAAGTGATTTTTCATTTAGAACATGAAGATTCTGATTTTTAAAATGAAGAATTTGGAATATACGCAGCACCTAAATGCATAATTTCATTTTACGTTTTTGTAAAGATGCTCATCTGAGGCTGCTCCCAAAGCCCATGACTAATTTAAGTTTACTTTTATCTGAAGGCATGGATACAGTGTAGCTCCGTATCAGAACTGTCAAGGGCTGTGAAGGGGCTAAGGTTTCACCCAACTTGCAAACAACAAGTTAGGCTGTCAGTTTCATGGGTGGTCTCTGAAGACATGAGACTCCCGGGTCAGAGACAAAGGACTTCATGACTCATGGTGCAGCAGGTGGCTTGAGCAAACGTTTGCTGAGTTTGCACTGCTTGTCTCCCAAGGCCTACAGGGAAGCCTGTGTGTGCAGTGGGAGAGGAACCCTGAATTTGGAGAGATTCATCTGTTATCATGCAAGCAGGTCTCCCCTTTGCTCTAGAAGGAGACGTTCTATCTTCCATGCTGTTGGCGATTCAAATACCCTGGAAGGGTAGTCAGAGAGACCCTCTGCTGTAAGGATGTACCAAAAATCCCAGAGACGCATGGAGAATGATCTTTCAACAACATGGTGAGTTTGCTGGCAAGCGTACATTCCATTGGCTACTATGATTAATGTGATCAGCAGGGGCGGGGCAAAATCTGTTCCCCTTGTCTCTCATGACATGTAATTTAGGCTTCTATCAACAAGACCCCAGTCCACAGCACATGCCAATCCATCCAGAGAACCCAGATGGTGGGCCAGAACCAAGTTTGAATCCCTAGGACCCTTTTGGCCAGGCTCCTACCCAAAGGCATGCCAATCAGATGGGTCCAGTGTGGCTGCTAGGGGGAGAAGGAAAAAGTTTCAGCAAAACCAGCAACCTTTCACTTCTTTCAACAGTCTAATATATTGAACACTTGAAAATGATTTTGTTTATACTGGACGAATTCTCGTGGCTTTAGATAAAACCCAAAAGCCCACATATGGGGACGACATTTGAGAGGCACTTTGCCGTTCTGTGTCCCTTCTTTGCTCCATGTCAAGAAGGGGTGGACATGTCTTCAAGGAGACATGAAGCTCTAGTTGAGTTACATTAATGTAAAAATTTGTTGCATATATTCCTTGGGGGCAGAACTAAGAATTTGGATAAGGGTACCT